GGGAAGGGAAGGGAAGGGAAGGGGGGCCACGGGGAGAGCAAATGGGCCGAGCCTGAGCACCGGCCCGCTTCTCCCCCTCCCCGCCTCCCCTTCGCCCCTTCGCCCATGACCTGCTCCTGCTTCCAGGCGCTAATTGTGGCGCTGGGGCTGGTGGCCGGCCTGCAGCTGCTCTACTTGGCCCTACTCTCGGGGCTGCATGGTCAGGAGCAGCGGTCCCGCCACGCGCAGCTTTTCCAGGCCCAGCGCCCTTTGCCCAGCCATGGGCAGAAGCAGAGGCTCAAACCGGTGCTGGCTAGCGGGGGCACCCTGGACATCAGCGGGCAGTACCGCATCTATCGGGACATGCTGCGGGCCTCTTGGGACGGCCGGGACCGGCAGGACGTGGTGCTGGTCACCCACACCAGCCTGGGCAACTTGCACCACGCTCAGCAGCTGGTGGAGCGCTGGCGAGGCCCCGTCTCGGTGGCCCTCTTTGCACCAGGGTTGGACGACGTCCGCCTGGCCACGGCAATGGTGTATGCCTTAGCTGTGCTCTGCGCCCCTGTCCGGCAGCTGCTTCGCCTCCACCTCGTGTGCCACGCCGACCAGATGGCTGCCTTTCCCGAGCAGGAGCGGGAGGATGGGGAATTCTCCCGTCTCCAAGCCTGCGGAGATGTTTTTGCCAAGCTAGCACAGCTAGGGGCTGGCCAGCGTAACTACGCCATGGACACTGCCAATGCCTCGTACCCCAACAACCTGCTGCGCAACGTGGCAAGAGAGGCCGCTGGCGGGCATTGGGTGCTGGTGGTTGACATGGATATGGTGCCCAGTGAAGGCCTGCGAGAAGACTTCCTGGCCTTACCCAAAGCCACCGATGAGGGGACGCCACGGGTCTTCGTGGTGCCAGCTTTTGAGATCCGTCACACGCGCCGTATTCCTGCCACCAAGGCGGAGCTGGTGCAGCTGTATCAAGTCGGGGAGATCCGACCCTTCTACGAGGAGTTGTGCCCCCGTTGCCAGGCTCCCACAAACTTTTCCCACTGGCTGAACCTTCCCATGGGGAGCTCCCTGCGTGTGGCCTACGAGGTGGAGTGGCGGGATCCTTGGGAACCCTTCTATGTCGGTGCTAACTCGGTGCCTCCGTACGATGAACATTTCAAGCAGTACGGCTTTAACCGTATCAGTCAGGTAACCAAGCAAGGGGAAAGACCTGGAGAACAGGTCTCCTTGTATTTATTTCTTCCCGATATTCTTTCTCAGGACATTTGTGTTAAGGTGGTTATTCAAGGTTGGGGGTGTGAGATGGTGGGGGCACACACCTTCATTTCTTCTGTTGTTTTATTCTCTTTTCCTGGCAGGCCTGCGAACTCCACATTGCTGGCTACCGTTTTGCAGTACTGAGCAATGCCTTTCTGGTTCACAAGGGATTTAAGGTGGCGGGCGAATTCCATGCACAAAAGGATGCTGAGAACCAGCGCAACAAGATCCTTTTTCGGCAATTCAAGCACGAGCTGAAGAGCAAATATCCAGACTCACCACGGAGATGTTGACTTCCACTTTGCAGAACTGAAATTCATCTTCTTTGGACTTGGAGTGGGGATAGATACAGGACCGGCACAAACTATATTTGCATTATGATTGTATGAACAAGCTGCGGGTCATCTTTCATTTACTAAAGACATTCTGTGTTACTGGTTTCATTTCTGCACTGCATTCGTCAGTTTCTGACTGCTATTTTGTACTACAGGCTGACAGAATAAGGTTATAAGATGATAAATTAAGAGAGGTGGGCATGAGAACATGGAAAAGGGCTTTTAGTTTTGAACTCTGAGACATGAAATGGTAAAATGTAGAAGGAAGACAATTCTGTAGTGAGATTTTTTCTGTTTTGTACCTGACCTGCCTTCTCAAACTGGTCACCTCAGTGTCTTGTTCTGCATAATGAGGATTATACTGGTCCTGAAGGAGAGGTGCTTAATTTATTTCTGTATCTTAAAATAACCAACCACCTACTAATTAAAGTGAACAATTTCAAATTTGGGTTGCGTTGGTCCTGTTCATTTTCTACCAAAACCTCCCACACAGTGCTTTTTGGCAATTACAACAGATAACCAGAGTGTGTGCTGTCCTTGCAGGAAATAGTCATATGGTAGATGATGCACGTAGATAGATTTAAAATGGATGGCTCTAATTTACATGGGAATTCAGTGCATAGGGCAGGAGATGAGTTGTCGATGTTTGTTCTCCAGATATTGCTGGCTGTTGGTGGTGCTCCTTGAGTTGGATAGGCTGTATAATAGATATAATAGGAAATATTCTCAGCAGGTGGTGGCACGTGGACAGCTTTGTCTGGATTTAGCAGCAACCCAGGGTTGGACCTGGTGGATGGGAGGAAATCCCAAAGGTGTAGGCTAGACCAGGAACTTGGGAAGCAGAAGGAAACAGTGGCAGATCCATGAAGCAGCCATTTTTATTTTTGGGGCTGAATGCCCGTGGTTTAGTGGCTGATCCCTTCTATATTGTTGCCACCATGGATGTGTCAAGGTGGTCCCCATGAATCCATTTTGACTCAGAGATGGGACTTTTGGAAGTAGGACGTGGCCACCACCCTACAGGAAACTGCTGAAGGTGGGCTGAAGGCAACTCAGGCCACGTTAGTGGAATATCTACAAATGAATGCTGCCCCTTTAATAAGACAGTATTTAACAGCTTATTTTCCTTCCAAAGTTGCTGTGGGCATCTCTTGAGGGGCTGCGTTCACACAACCAGGTGAAACTCTGAATTCTCGAAGCAAATATCCTCCAGGTGCTTATTATCGTTATTATTAGATTTCTCTTCCCCTCACTCTCCAGCCACCTCATGCATGGCCCTGCTGATAGGCGTTGAAGCCCAAAGCATCCAGCAACCACGGAGTTTAGCACGTGTGAATGCACCCCGTGGGTGGGGATAGGAAATGTAGGTAGTATCTGTAGCCATTGCAATACTGCATCGATGTCTCGGAGCTCATTCAGCAGCACTTCTCCAAAATGTTAAGGTTTGGAAGGAAAAAACGCTTTTTTTTTTTTTGTTTGTCAGTTCTTCCGTCCCCCGTTTCACTATTACTTTTCCTCTTTTCCTTCCCAGGGTTCTATTTTCCCGGTTGCTATGGAAATGCCTGCCTTTCCGCTTCCGGCTTCCCACAATGCTGCGCAGAAAAACCACAGAGAGGCGGGTGGAAAGCGGAATGATCATAGACATGTAGCCGCTTCCAACGGCCGGCTTCATAAGCCGCTCGGATTGGCTAAGAGCAGTGGGCGGGGCCGATCGTGGACCACTTCCGAGTGCGGAAGGGAGCCCGAGCGGCGTCTACGCTTTGCGCAGCCCCTCCCCCAGGTAATGAAGGGGTCCAGACACTTTTCCCAGCACCCCCCTTTTTCTGGGTGTTGTTGGTCCCGCCCATTCCAACCTGATGCATTTTTCCCACTTGGGCGAGCGGCGGGGTGACTGTGGATTAGACCACTGTAACCGGGGCTGGGGGTTTATGTTTGTGTGCAGATGCTCTTGTATGAACGTACGTGCGCACATACGTAGGACTGGTTTCTGCTCGTTACATTCACTGTTGAAGGAGTATCGTAAGGGGAGGAAATTCCTAAACGTATTTCTCACTTTTCTTTTCTCCCCTCCTTCCCCCCCCCCAAGGATTTGGTAATCTCTTCCCCCATGATATTAATAGGGGAACATGGTTTAGTCCATTGCATTATGGGGGGGATGGACGGTGAAATATTTATGTTTATTCATAAACGTTTACGATACCTTGGTGTTCTACCTGATTTGTTAGCAATTGACAACAGTGGCAAACCTCATTTTAAAAAATAGTTAAGCATGACCATTCAAAAGCACCGGGGGATAGCTTAAAACCTACAGCAGTAAGCCAACTATTTAAAATGTTACTTTGCCAACATTCTTTACAAAATGCTCTCTTGCAGATGAAGGTTTCCTTCAGGGACCAGATGGTCAGTGAGGTCTTGAGATTCCTGAACAAGTCCGAAAGCCTGGGGCGGTCTGAGTTTCTCTGAATCCGTGGGACTACAATTCCCATCAGCATGGTTGGGGAGGATGGGAGTTGCAGCCCACACATGTATGGGGCACTGTGCAAGGGACACTTGGGCCAAGTGTAAGCTTCAAAAAGGCCCTTTTCTTAGCCTGAAATGACCATCCTTTCTGGGGCCCCCAAAGGAATTGCCAGCTGTTGTGCAGGGACTAGTATCCTCAGTTATATTGCAGTTCAAAGTGTGTTTATTCTGAAATTAGCCTAGACATCACTGTGGTTTGCTCCAGTGAAATGTATGTACGAATGAGAGTTTGGTCTCCCTTTTGTGAGAGGTAGCCTGTTTTCTAGGATAAGGTCTTTCCAAAGCCTTAAAAAGCATGAGGAAGTTTTTTGCAAGTTGATGTGCTCAGGTGTGAATTTTGCATTTTAAATGCAGGAAGTCTCTGTTTTGATCCTGGGTATTTTCAAGCAAGAAAGGATCAGGTACCAGCTTGGAAAAAAAGAACGGGAAGAAATCCTTTGGAACTCACTCGAGTGCAGCCCTTATCTGCCACTCATCAAAACAGCATGTCTTTTTCCAAGTGTGAAGAGACCCTGAAAAAAAAATAAGGCCACTATAAGAGTTGTGCTAAAGATGCACCTGCTTTAAAGAGTTGGCTTATTAAAGCAGGTCCGTCCTTTTTCAGCTTGCCCAGAAACCTGCAAAAAAGGTGGCTGCCTTAGAGTTATCTTATCTGGGCTGCAAAACTCTTTGCTGCCGTTAGTGATTGTCAGGATGATTGCAATCGAGATGTTGTCACCCCTGGGTTGTTTTAATCAACTGGTGCCCTCGCAACGAGTTTTGAAGTAGTGCTTCCACATCACATTCAATATAGACTCAGGATTGATGGTTGAGAATGCTGGAATTCATCCTGGAGGCTGGAGAAAGCACTTGAAGTAGGCCAAGAAGTGGAAATGTTCACCCATTGGGGTGTCCTGTAGACCTGCTTCCTTTCCCACCACTTGAGGAAATTCAGACGTGCTGACATATGTCTGCCTTGCAATTCCTGAAAAGTTTTCTTCCTCGTGGAAAAAAAAAAAAAAGAGGTGTTTGTTTTTCACCCTTAGCTTCCAATTTTCTTTTGAGTTTCTCTCGGGGACGTTTTTGGGGTGATTGCTAGTGTCGTTTTCTGCAACTTATCTTTCCAATTTTCTTTACCCTCAAAGCAGTGTAGGTTCTAGCTCCTTTCCTCCCTTTACTTTTATTAACATTTTAAACGGAAGCAACTGACAATAAAGAAGGTGGAAATAATAATTGCCTACAAAGCTACTAGAGTCCATTTCATTGAACCTGATTTCAGAAGAACTATATAGCCAAAACGAAATAAGCTAAGCAGTGAAAACTTTAAAAAAGGAAAGGAGAGAAAAGCTATTTTTTTACAATTTCAAAATAGTAATATATACTATTCAGTTTTAAAACAATGAATTAAATGTAAACCTCATCATTATTATTATTCACATAATATCCCATTGCTCAGTCTTGCCTATCTCAAAGGTTGTGGCTAAATTTCATTGGAACAAATTGGTATATGTACATCATTCCAAGAATATGAAATCACCTTTGTAACTACCATCCAGGCTTCATATCCAAAGTTCTTTTTACCTGAACAGGTTCCAAGCTCCATGTAGCATCATATTTATTTAAACCTATAGCTTCCTTCCAAAACCCTGGTCCACCAGTTTAGTGATAGCGCATCGGACTGCAGATCAACTGGGTCCCCAGTTCAAATCCAGATGCCTCTCAAAAATCTTGAAACCAGAAGGATGTCATGGTTAAAGTGTTGGCCTGGCCCTGGGGAGACCCAAGGTCAAGTCCATTCTTAGTCACTGAAACTCGCTGTTCTCAGCCCAACTTGTCTACCTAATAGGGTTGTTGTTGGGAGTGCTATTTACACCACTTTGAGCCCTTGAAGGAAAGGCAAAATAGAAATCTAAATAAACTCTCCCCAATAAACTGGTGTTTAAGGGAAGTAGAGAAAACCAGGTGATTATACAATAAAAGAAAGCACATTCTCTTGGCCAGGGCATGACTAGAAGAGTATAAAAACACCACACTCTGCCTGTGAAAGAATTGTGTGAAATTCCCTTCTCCTCGGAAGAAAGGATTGAAAGCAAATCCTTGTTCATCAAACTGAATGAAAACCAGTTGACCAAGTGCGCAGCCAAATTCTTTTGCTCGGCAGACAGAAAAAAAACGTGCACTGTGCATTTTCAAGATTGTCCATTAGTGCAGCTTGTACACCAGCTTATCTCAGTGCTAGGCGCATTTTTGGCCCGCACCATCAGAATTGTATGGGTGCTCAAAAAATAAAATCCAGAATCTGCAGCTGAGAGATTTGTACCTAGTGTTGCTACCTGGTTTATACTGTCTGTAGCTGTGCTTCGTGGGAACAGTTGAGTGGGAATCCTTGATTGTCATCTTCCATCCCAGCCTTCCATCACAGGCTTGTCTAGAAGGGACAATTGTTTGGAGATCAATAATGTACCAAAAGAAGCAAATATATGCAGCTCAGGGTTGAACTATGGAGTCCTTGGGGTTCTCTGAGCTTGATGGTTTTCTTGCAGACGTTTCGTTACCCAGCTAGGTAACGTCTTCAGGACAAACTCCACTCCCTTTTAGCACTGAAGATGTTATCTAGTCAGGTAACGAAACGTCTGCAAGGAAACAACCAAGCTCAGAGAACCCCAAGGACTCCACAGATCAATAACGTGCCCAAAGCCAGTTCCTGTGATTTGCGTGCTCCCTTTGCAGGATAAGTGCAGAGTAATTATTCCAAAGGTGATATCTGGACTCTGTTCGCTCTTACAGTTGGATCCTTTTCTGCCCACCTTTCCTTCAACTTGGGTGTCTTGACTTTGGTCCATGCCACCATGCCTGTTCAGCCTCTGCCCAAGGAGATGGAGGGGGAAGGCGATTCCGCTGCCGAAATGAACGGCGAGGAAGAGAGCGAGGATGAGCGCAGCGCCAGCCCGTCGGAATCAGAAGAGGAGAGTTCAGGTAATTTTCAGGAGGGGGAACTCAATCTGCATTACTAAAATGCAGCTCGGAGTCTTACGTGAACCCAAACGGTTGGCTTAACTCTACAGGCAGAGTTTAGTTCCTTGTACATGCCATATGGGTTACTGCGTGTCATGGTAGAGTTAATTCTGCACGTCATCGTTCATTCTACATGTTGCAGCTCAGTTAATTCTGCACGTCCTAGTTCGGTTAATTCAGTCTGTCATATGGTTTAGTTCATTCTTCATTGTTAATTTAAAAACTCTTTAAAAACTAGAAAACGGCAGGGGTCAGAGGGAGGCCACTGTATGAAGGGAATGATTGGGGCTCATTGGGGCCCCTGAGCTCCACGTTGACGGCTTGGTTCAGTTCATTCTGCGTGTCGTGGTTCAGTAAACTCTGCATTTTATAGCATAGTGAATTTTGCCTGTCGCACAGTTAATTCTGCACATCATCGTTTGAGTAATTCTTCATGTCATGGTTTCGTTCATGCGCAGTCCTTAGCTTTGTTAATGCTGCATATTAATGTTCGGTGTCATATAGTTAATTCTGCACATCATCGTTGGTTCATTCTGCACGGCATGGTAGAGTTAATTCTGGATGTCATATGGTTTAGTTCTTGCTTCATTCCATGGTTCAGTCAATTCTGCAGCCCCTGATTCTTTGTACCATAGTGCAACCATGGCCTTCACCAGCTGGCCTTAGATCCGATCAGTCAAGGGGTCCGGTCTTCACCATTTTGGGGCCACTGGGCACGTTGAGAGCATGGCGTGGACACTCTCACAGCCTTGCTTAGCTTAGCTTTGACTTCTATTTTATTTTTTTCCCCTTTCCAGGGAATTTGGGCACCCAGGCTTCCAACCAAGGCATGCCTGGGTTGTAACCAGCCATCACTTTTACCTTTCCAACAGTGCCTTTGAAGCCCAGAGGCATTTCTGGCCAAGGAGCTGAAGTTGGCCGTACCTCATACTAACTTCCCAGGTTCTTTGTTAATTTAAAAAATCCTGAAAAACTATAAAATGGCAGGTGGGAGAGGGAGTCCACTCATTGGGGCCCATGAGCGCCACATTGACGACTTTACCCAGCCAGTTGTGCACACTCAGCTTTCGTCAACCTGGTGCCCTCAAATGTATTCAGTTTGCAAATCCTAAGATTCCCAGCCAGGTTGGACGATTTTTGTCTCGGTTTCTGCAACATGGTGGGACTTGCCGAGAAGAAGACTTTGGGTCTTCCTGGCTACAAACACAGTGGATGAGATACCAAACTGGCACTGGAGAGACCCAGGTTCTAGTCCCCTCTCAGCCATGAAAAGTTCCTGGGTGGCTTTGGGCTAGTCCTCCTCTCTCAGCCCAGCCTACCCCACGGGGTTGTTGTAGAGGAAAAGAGGAGGAGGGTTTTCTGGGTTCACATGACACAATGAAGAAAGAGGCTGGTTTTACCCAGCAGACTGAGTTGCAATAAACAAACCCCTTAACCAAAGTTAACATAAAATATTATCATGCACGTTGCTGATATGCAATGTGTGAGCATACGTGGCCTTCCCAAACAGGACCACAGTAGCTAGCCACGAAATGGAATATGTTTTGTGCAGCCTGGATTCTGGAGCATCCGCTTTGTATTCGGTTTAGCCTCCTGCCCTGAAATAAATTGTCCATTTTACCCCCAGAGATGAACGATGAAGACTACGAACGGCGACGGGCAGAATGCGTGGACGAAATGTTAGATTTGGAGAAGCAGTTCTCTGAAATCAAAGAGAAGTGAGTTGCCTGCTTTCTCCTTCTGTTTTCTTGCGTCCGTTTTTTTTTTTTAATACGTGTTTGTGTCTTTACTGATCAGCTGTTTCTTCTCAGTAATTTCGGGTCCTTCCTCCCTCCCAGAAAATATTGGAAGAAAACATAACATTAAAAAAAAAATATGGGCTGGCTTGCCTTTATAGATCCCAGGATAATATTTTAGATGTTCTGTAAAACTTCCCAAATAAACATATAATGATCAAAACAAGCAATCGTGCTGAAAACCAGCAAAATAGGAGTGGTAAAATGTTATCGTAACATGGTTGTAGAACCACTAAACACAGAGAGTAAGAAAGGATTCAGCATTCAAATGTCCAAACAGTTTTAAAAAATGTTCAATCTTTGCCCTGGAAAATAACTCTGTTGGCACTGTTTTCGTCTCTTGGGGGAGATAACTCTGTTACAGTAGAAGAATCGTCCTTAATACATCATCCGCATCTCTAAAACTGAGATACCTTCTTGTTCTCCCTCCCCCACAAATCTTAGTGGATTTATCTGTTTTTCCAATAAACATTTGGGATGAAAAAAGTGGCTTCTTTGCATAGTTTGTAGTTACCTTGTAGAATTCCCTGCCATAAGATGGAGTTGTTCCTCTGGGTTTCCTTGAACCAGGGGCTTCAAATGCCCATAGAGAAACTTCTTTAGAAGATTTCTTGGAAAAATGGTAGCCCAGTCTTTCTTTTCCTACTTTCTCTGGGGTCCTCCAGGATCAGGAAGATCTGCACCGAAGGTGGGACCCCGAGCGCTGCTGACATTTCGCTGTGCATTGCAGCAAAGCTTCATCTCTGCAACGGTCCAAGGCAACTCAGCGAAATGTCTGCAGCATTGAGGATTTACACTGGTGCAGATCTTCCTGAGCCCAGAGGACCCCAAAGAAAGAATGTACTTCTTTAGGAACCTGGAAGCCCCGGGTCCCAAAGCCTGGGAAGAGCGAGGAATGGAAAAATTGAGAATAGAAAATCCTTGGAGATAGTGGCAATGAAACCCTGAATGAGAAAGGATGCAACGGGGGTGGTGGTGGTGGTGTAAAAATGCAGGTTGGCAAAGGTTTCCTTCCATCCCTGTTCTTGGATCAGCTGAGAGATGACCCATCTGTTATTTCTCACCCAGACGTTCAGATGAACGTGGTGTTCTCACGCCTCGTCCCCCCTGCCCACTGTTCAGAGATCTGAAATTCAGCTTGGTCCTTCCCTTCTTGCTTCCTGAATCCATTGACGGAGCTCACAGACAGGCTGTTCTTTTTGCAGAACAGAAGCTGGGAAGGAGGCGAAAATTATTCAAGGATTCAGTAAAAATCTTTGGGGGGGGCAAATGCTTAAAGGAACCCCGTTCTGTACCCTGCTAAACTCTCACCGAATAAGCATTAATCTTAGTGACCCAAAATGCTCAGTGGCTTGCTAAAAGGGGAAGTGGCAGGGAGTGTCCTCAAAGAGGACCCAGCTCTCTAGCGCTCGGATCAGGACCCCCCCTGTGCTGCACAATTTTGTTGCAGTTCAACAAGCACGTAGCCGGGTGCCGTTTTCTGATCCAACCCCTTGGCCGAGAGTCGGAATTGAAATGAATGCATCGAGAACAACGTGGAAAATCTGCAGTTTGGAACCTGTTGCCCCTCATTACACACTGGCTGGCTTTGGGCCCCAGGCTGGAATAGGGATAGGGGGGTTTTAGTCCCCTACATGACTTTGGGGCCTCCTCCTGGTGAATCACTTGGGAATCTTTTTCAGACTTTTTAAGGAGCGCCTGAACCAGGTGAAGGCGAAGTTGGAAGACGTGATGTCAGGAAAAGCGGTGGAATACCTCGATCCCCTCGCCGTTTTGCAGAATCACATGCAGATCCGGATGGAAGTGGCTGGTAATTTGCAGGGCACGAGCCGTGGGGGAGAGATGGGGGCAACTGAGGCGGGGAGTTGATCCTTCAACTGCCGGGCTGGGGAGAATTTTGAATGAACTTGACTCCTGAACACCACCACGTCGCTTTCTTGGCACTTCTATGTTTGCCATTGGCTTCTACCAGGACATTTTTTTCCCCAGTTTTCCGATCTAGAGCTTCAAGCCTGAGATTTCCTAGTGGTCTCCCTTCCTACCACACTTCTTTTTTTAAAGAAGATTATCCAAGATCAGCTGGGGTTTGCTATCTAGCTGGGCAAATAATGTGAAGACCCCTTTGAGGTGGCGAGATGACCCCACTCATATAGATTTTTTGGGCATAGTTTCCTACTCTTCAGCTGTGGGATCCCCTGGTGGGCTCCCATCCAAGCACTACCGTGACCTTGCATTGTTTCTCGGCCCAGAAAAGGTTAGCAGGGATAGTATCATTTAACTAATGAAAGATTTTGTTCAACGAGAGCTAAGGACAGCATCCTCTCTCCTAAAGTTCCAGAAAGCTCTTAAAACTGGCTTTGGTCCCAGGCCTGGGGTTAATATTTTGTTGGTTTGCGGGTGGAGGGTTCTTGATATGTGTGGTTTTTTGATCATCGTAGTCCAGGCTGTGTGGTTTTTAGGTTGTATCTGTTTTTATGGATTGTTTTGGTTTTGTACACCGCCCAGAGAACACTGGTGTTGAGCAGCTATAAATAATAATAATAATTATAACAACAACAACAACAACAACTTACATCCTGCAACAATACCTTTAACACCATCAAACAACATCTGCCTATCCCAGGTCCTTGGGGAGGACTCGATAAGTGGATAATAATGCCAAACCCAGTCTAAACATTTGGCCGATTGTGAGACATACAAACAATAATATTTTTTATATATATATATATATTTATATATTTTAAATAATAATAATAATAATGCAGAAGCTTGGGATTTGCGGAGGAGGGAACAATGTCCCCTCCTTCACCTTCCACTGCCTCTGAACATTTGTTCATTTTCCCAGGGATATATCGAGGTTTGTGCCTGGAAGTCATCGAGCACCGATATCAATGTGAGCTGCAAGGAGCCCAGCAACACCTGGAGGTTAGAACAACCCCTCCTTCTAATCCCTTCATTACCCCCAAATCCCCAAGAAAGTGGGGAGGGGGCCTTGATTAAAACAGCCCATTCCACCGACATTCCTTTTTTCCCCCAATTCTCCATGGAAATACTCTGAGAAGTCTTCTCTCTTTCTCATCACCTGCCACTCAGTAAATTTCCCAGTAACTCGTTCTTCCTTGCAGTAGACAGAAGATCAGCTGAGGAGGCAGCAGTGGAAGCCGATATAATATGACACATCATTCAGGGTGCCTGATAATATTTCAGAACAAACGTGCATGCTTACTCGAAAACAGATCAGAGAGAGATTTGGGGGAGGGAAAAATCTACAACTTTGAAATTGGTCATAAAAACCTGGGAAACTGAACTGTTTTCTCATTAATTTGAGAATTTCCTTAAGCAGCTGATGGGTTAAAAAGCAGATAGGAACGGGAACTGTTGATGATCCAGAATTGTTCTTGCTTTGTAACAAATATACTCTCTTGTTGTTTAGTTAAAAAGATGTGCAGCTTTTTTTCCTCTACCAAGGACCACGTTCCTCCAAGGATAATATGTTAAGGAGGAACTGTGACACAGAATGGATGGACCAGAGGTTAACTGACTGGCAGGAATATCTTGTTCTCTCAGTCTTTCAAACTGCAGGTTGCAGAGAAGGAAACATAGCTCTTACGAGAGGTTTGAACTGATCTTTTGCAGAAGGTATTAGAATGAGTACAGCCAAAATAGCCTTAGCCTTTTTTGCAGCAGCATCACACGTTGGGCTCCTGCTTAGCTCGGGATCCAGTTCACACTTCTCGGCCAGGCTCCCAAACAGCTTAACTCTCAAAGCAACATTGTGTGGGAAGGCAAGATACCATTTCAAGCGCTAGTCTATGATATCCTAGTTTGCAATCTCTGACCTGGCCTTCAGCTGCCTTGTGGGAATTTGTAAGGCTGAATGCCCTTGGCAAGCTTTGTTTATTTAGCAAGCAAAGTTTTGCTTTTTGCTGTTTGGCATTTTTGCTTATGCATTTGAAAACCCCTCTTTAATTATCGAAAGCGCCAGGTTCACGGCATCCAATCTGGTTTGGGCTTGTCTTTTTCATTCACACGCACACACACACATATACATTTGTGCTTAATTGATACCCAACCAAAGGAAAGCCCGTTCATTTCTTCACCTTTAAATGGCTAAGTTTAAGCGCTTCCCGCTGCGTGATTTCAGTTGGAGGGATCTCCGAAGAGAAAGACGAGGGCTGTCGTGCGAGTTCTGAAATAGGCCTGAGATTCATGAAATCATAGAGGAATTCGCTCTCTCACACAAACACACACACGCACAAAGCTGAAATGAGATCTCTGAAAATCATAGCTCCCAGTGGTCTGGCAGGAAAATGGTCAATATTTTTTCCCCCCCATTCAATCTGGAATTGGCTTGAAAAAGTATCTGTAGCATCTGATTTCTTTCTGAGTTGCTGACTGCTAGAGGGCTCCTTTGAAGACGATGGTCCCTTCTGAGCAGTTACTACAACCTTTGTATGGGACCTTGCTGGCTGGGAATTCTGGATTCTGCAGTTCCAGAATTAGGGTCCAGGGAGGTCCAGGGAGTCCTGTGTTTTCAATTCCTCACCTGGTCCTTCTCCTTCCCTTCCCTTCCCATCCCATCATATTATGTCCCTTTCCTTTCCTTTCCTTTCCTTTCCTTTCCTTTCCTTTCCTTTCCTTTCCTTTCCTTTCCTTTCCTTTCCTTTCCTTTCCTTTCCTTTCCTCCTATCCTT